GCAGGTTCAGTATGGTTGATAGGTGGTCTGATATGTCATTTGAAGTGATCTTTGCATCCAAATGTCATATGGACCTAAAGCAACCCTACTTGATTTGCAGCATCCTGCTATCAGTTTGCCAATATCATGAAGTGGCTTAGGCAGAGAGCCACTTCAGGATGTTGGCAAATTAATCACTTCTTCAGCTTCATGTAGAAGCCAAGGAAATGTTGCTGTTTTAAAAACATTGTTTTTAATGTATGTATTAAGGGCAGTTAATATTCACTGAATCACAAAAAGACTAATGGAAAGCAAATGTATATTGGGAAAGCAAATGTGTATTTTGACAGCAGGCAATTTGAGAGTAGGCTGTACTGAGCTGCCCACTATGCCTCCCATGAGCAAAACCAGCCTATATAACCTTGGGGAAGCTGCAAAGTCCCAGGGGTGGCCACAGAAGAAGGGCACGGTAAACAACTTCTGAGTACTCTCTACCTAGAAAACCTTGGAAAGGGTCACCATAAGTCAGATTTGTCCTGGTGGGAAATAGTTATTATTATTAAGGTCTCTCAAAACAACTTAATAGGAAGCTTTGGTGACACTCAAATTTATTCACATCTGATAATTTAACTAACATTAAATTAAAAGGCAAATTATTAATCAACTGACAATTCTTTAGTCTGGTGGTTTTTCAGCCTTTCTTTTGCAAGATCATCTAGATCAAGGTGAGCCAAATTTTTGCCCCAGTACCTATGCCAGAAATGTTAATACATGTCTGAAAAATTAAATATCTCAAACCCAGAAACACTTGGACAACCACTTCTGATTTCAGTGAAGAGTTGCATACATGCCCCTGGCTTATTTTGTATTAATCCCTTTCCCATCACAAAACAACACATTAAAAAAATTACTGGGATGGTATCGGGGCTCTGTGGGAGCTAAAGACACAAAAATGCTCTTGATAATCTGCATGTGATCAGCAGGCCACCCTTTACTCACTCCTGACTTAGATAAATTATAGGCATCTCAGAAAGTGCCCCAGAATCTTTTGTGGCATGCAAGAGGTCCTTAGCAGTTGAGTTGATGTAGGAACTATACTCTGAAGGGATAATGTTTGAAACTTCAGTGCTGTATTCTCCTCATTGCCTTACTCACCACTTATTTTCAGTGAATCTAGTTGAGATTGTAGACTTGGGGCAATGCCATTTGAGCTTTAAGCAACAGCTAGGGAACATGGATGTACTCCATTCTGCAAGGGTTTTCCTCAAGATCAAGCTACACATTTCCCTAAAGGCATTTTTAAATCCTGTGCTTGGGGTTCTTCTTGTTTTTTTTCTTTCTTTCTAAAAAGCAGGTGGGATCTTGGCCACAGAACAGTTAATACTTTCTAATTCCTGCTGAAAACTGTCACATACCTTGGCTGCTACTTCCCCTTCAAATAATTTGCAGAAAATAACAAATCTGGAGGCAAAGAACAGCTGGTGGAGGACATTTTTCAGCAAACCCTCTTCTCTCTCATCATATATGGTCCAAGTCTAGATTGTGCACAACCCCTGCTTGCTCTTTATATTGTAAAAGATGTGAAGATTCATGCATGGCTTTAACAGGAAAGTGGGGAGTGTTTGGGGGCACAGTCAGCACTGGTCTTTGCTAGACCCTGTGGTGGTCATTGAGTTTGCTGTGGTTGAGGCCAGAATATCACCCTTGATTCATGCACACTTCCTCTTTCTCTATGGCTTTAATGTTCTCATTATCTTAGCATTTTTATTACTGATACTGTATAAGAACAGGTGATACCTTTAATCAACCATTGAGAATATAAATTAAAAAAACAGAAAACAAAAAACAAACAGTGAGCTTTCAGTAGTAAAACACCTTCTTCAAGGCTGCACATCAAGTTCTTGTGGGTATTTCCAATTATATGCTGTTATTAATACCCCAGATCCACACAGCTGATGATGTTGAAGCTACGTTTGCTCCTTAGATGGTGACAATGTAGTATTCAGGTTGTTTTCAAGCTCCTTCCCAGCTAGCAGTTTGGAATTTATGGTCTATCTTTTTTAAAAAAGGTCAGGCAATCCACCTACAAACACACACCTTTTTTTTTAAAAAAAAATCCTGATTAACTCAAAATTGCTGCTAATAGCAGCAGTGAAGTGGTCTTCATCAGAATCTGCCAGGTGCTATTTCCTCATTGTAGGGAAGCAAGGATAGGTTCCCCTTGCCCACTCCACCCATGGCTGATCAGCTGGCCAGTGAGGGAAGTGGATGAGGCTTCCTGAGACCCTGTGAGCAGCACAGAGACCAGACAAGGGCTGCATGTTCTCCACATATGCTTTAATGTAACAATAACCCTCAGACAGCTAAGAATCATGGAAACCATCTTATTTAATTCTGGCAGTGTAAACAGAGAACAATAAGGTGTGATTAACAAAAGAAAAGAAAAATCCCCAGCTATACATTGGAAATATTGAGTGTGTTCCTATTGACTGGAGATACAACAAGATGCTTTCATGACTTCAACCAAACTAATAATTGTCTGTCCTTTGTTGCTCACATGTACATAAGGCTCCAGTGTTCCCTTTGTGCTGCCTGTACAAGCAGTGCAAAGGGAACGTTATTATTTATGTTATCCATCTCCTCTATGGTCTCCTTACAGTTTCAAAGGTATGAATATAAATTGAAAAAAAGTAATCCCTATGGAGCTACAGAGAGAGGGCTGGTTAGCAAGTGGTTCCTGTCTTATCAAATGGAAACACATCCCTAGGTAGATGGAAATAGTGGAAATGAGATATACTGTAGGGAGGAACAAAGCATTTTGGGGCATTAAAACCTTGACCTCTGATCTTACTCATGCCCCTGCTGATCCCTGCAGTTATATCAGACATTGGCCACACATTCTCGGGGTTATCTTCCCAGCCTTGAAGGCTAGAAATGTGATTTTAAGATAAAAAGAAAAGTGAAATTATTAGATTGCTGGAGTAGGGAGAGAGGTGACTGAATTGAGTACTTGCCTGAAGAGACAGAGGTTGGGCGTTTGATTCCCCATATGCCTCATAGGAGAAGAGACAACCGATGTAATCTTGACCACGCTTCATTGTCCCAGAGGGCTGCAGAGGAAGAGAATGGTAAACCATTTCTGGGTACTCTGTACCTAGAAAATCCTGGAAAGATTTGTCAGGAGTAGAAATCAACTTAACAGCACATGATTATCAGGAGTGGGAGACTGTAACCTTCAGAGGTCCTGTGGCATACAAACATATGGTACATAAGGATAAGGCCTCAAACATAAGTTACACAGTAAGTTAAATAAGGCACCTGAGTTTTTAGGTTGTGGGCAGCTCAGCTTTTTTTAGTTGCATGTAGGGATGTAAAAATACTTGATAAATATTCATTCCTAATCATCTAGGCTGTCTCAAATTCACATCTATACTATTCCAAGACCTATGAGATTCCTTGTCTCAAAGCAAGAACAACAGCACTATTTTCCCCATTACAGTCTCTGCAGTTTTTGCAAATTGTCTCAGCACAAACCTAGTGACCTTCCCAAAGGACCTACGCAGAGCAAGCTCAGAAATGATGGCTGGTTGTTTAACAAATTTTCAATGTTTCTAATTTTTAAATATCCACACAGCAAAGGAGCAACCATTGCAATTTTATAACATTTGTATTATTTGTGCAGTTTAACTTAATCTGTGTTCTTGTTCTCTTGGCAACAGTGCCACTTACTTCCTCACCATTTCACCAGGTAGATGGAATAATTTTGTAGTTCTCTGTCTTCATATGCATAAATGTATATCCTTCCTGGAAAGTACGAAGGTGTTTAGACAGGCATTTGTCCCATTGTTTGAATCAGCCTGCCTCTGATCAATGTCTACCTGCACATTTTGGGTCCCTGTCAGGGCTTACCTGTTTTTGTTCTGTTTTGGTTTAGCTCCAGCACACTGTGATCAAACCAAAGAGATGGATGGCTTTCACTTTGCTGAAGCCACTTAACAACCTTGAGAAATGAAAGCTTCCTTGCTACTCACCTGCAGAGGGGAAGGAAAAGGAAGTTTTGTGTTTCCTTTTAATTGTTGTTAATGCATCAGTAATGCACTGAAAGGGTGTATTTTTTAAAAAGGCCTTTCCATTAAACAACTTAAGCAAAGAAGGAAAATGCTTATCAATATTGAGAAATGAAAAGTTTCCTTTCCACTCACCTATTGAGGGGAAGGGAGATGAAGATTTCCATTTTTAAAACATTATTTCTAACCAGACAAGTGCATCAGTGATGCTTTAGAAACATCAGTGATGCACAAACAATTAAATAGAACAGGAAACCTTCCTTCCCCTTCTCTTCTGCAGGTGAGCAGGGAGGAAGCTTTCCATTTCTCAGTATCGTTAATCAGTTTCCTTTTCTGTGCTTTGCTTAAACTGCTTAGTGATCTTGAGAAATGTGAAGCTTCCTTCCCCTAATAGGGAAAAAGAAAGAATGGTTTTGACTAAATGGAGTTGCTTGAGGTCAGATGTGGAGCGTTGCTCATTCTTCCCTGCCCCCCATGAAACGCTGAATTTAGGGAAATGATATTTCAGTCCCCCTTTCAGTGTGTGTCCTGATTCAGGTCTTATCTCCGCATAATTACTTTTAATTAAAATGCAATTCAGCTGTGTGCTATCTATTTAATGTACAGTGTAATTGAGATATCAGATCAGTACAATTGTCAGCATGGTGGCAATGCACTTTTTCAAAGACTAGCATAGTTTATCCTCATTACACTAAATTTCAAAGGTCTGACTTTTCTTGTGCTATCTATTTAATGTACAGTGTAATTTAGATATCAGATCAGTGCAATTGTCAGCATGGTGGCAATGCACTCTTTCAAAGACTAACATAGTTTATCCTCATTAACACTAAATTTCGAAGGTCTGACTTTGCCACCAAGGTACTGGTTTATTACAAGCCAATACATTTATTAGCAAGGTATGTTAATAAGAGTACGACAGTCCCTTCTGATGTGTTGCTTCCTCTAATTCCACAGGAGGCAGAGTGTTTATGAATCCTCAAGACTGTGCACAGCATTTGATGAATGGAGACACACTAAGCGGCATTTACACCATCTCTCTCAATGGGGACATCAGTCAAAGAGTGCAAGTATACTGTGACATGACCACGGATGGTGGTGGATGGATTGTAAGTGAGCAAACTATGCCACATATTACCAAAGTTTTTATTTTTTAAAAAATCTATTTGCATGAGACTCTAAAGACTTAATGCATACATGAAGACTTCTGAAGTGTATCTGAGGGCATCAGAGTGACTACAGCTCTGAACCACATACTTAAAGGCAAAGAGAAAAGATATTGTAAGGATGAAATTGAAACAGTAGACAGCCGTCTCCTCACTATATATCCTGATAGGTGGTAATACATCAATTGTCCCTATTTACTAGTTTTCTAGTACTGTACCTAGTAAATCACTGACTCTACTTTTCCCAATTTTTCCAATGGGAACATTGAAATTTTCTTAATTTGAGTATAAATCTTGGTGGTTTGGTTTGTTTCCCTGAGTCTCTAGAAGTTTAATCTTTCCAGTAGGTGCTTATATTGTGATTTTAATACAGGGGCATAAACCTCATGCGATGCAGAATCTACCACTCCACACTTTGCAACCACTGAATTATAGCAATTGGAGAAAAAAAACCTTTCCTAATACTTATTTTTATATCTTTGCATTTAGTATAACATTGTCTGTGACAGCACAGACAAAGACATTGCAGAATAGGCAATATATGTATATATGCATTATTTATATGTCATTTTCCCCATGAGGGACCCAAGGCAGCTCACAGCCATTAAAACTATACAATGATCACAGTTTTTAAAATACCAGTAAACACTATATTTAAAAACAATTAAACATTTGTCTATATTAAAACCAAGATTAAAATCAAATTTTGAAACATTTAAAAACCTATAAAACTTATCTGAATTTAATAAATACAGCATTCCTGGGATCACCACTTGTTGCTTAAACAGCTGCCTAAAAAGAAAAGTCTTTGCCTGACGATGGAAGGACTACCTGTTTCTTATGGCAGTGCATTACCAAGTCTGGGAGCAGCTGCTGAGAAGGCTGTCTCTCCTGTTGTCAGCAAATAAGCTTGGGAAGGTAGTGAAGCCAAGATAAGGGCCTCCCCAGATGATCTTCAAAGGCAGTGCCACATTGCATTGCAGTAATCTAGACATGTTATAACTGAGGCATGTGTCACTTGCACTCTGTGTACTAAAGCAGTGGTTCTTAACATGGGCAATAATACCCCCCAGGGGGCGATTTCATTTTTCAGTGGGGCGGTAGAATGAAAAGGGGCAGCATGGGGGTGAACGAACAAAAGGGGGCAGTAGGGGCTGCTGGAGCGAGCCAAACCTGTGGAGGCGGCTGCAGCGACGGTGCTGACAGTGGATCCGGTGCCACCACCGCCAGACGATCCAGCTCTATCTGCCTGCCACATCTTGCCTTACTCCCTTAGGGGAGCACCAAGTGTGGATTGGGTGGAAGGAAAGTGTCTCTCAGGTCCCCATCCTCACCCGGTGAAGCGCTGCCTTGCCCCCTGGGTGGGGAGGGAGAGACAAGCACCGTTTGTCCATCCTGTCCACCTTCCTGCCTGTTGCGAGGGAAGCGTGGAGAGAAACAGGTCACTTTGGGGTGACATGGCAGGATTTCTAGGGACAGGGCTGGCTCGAGTTGTAGGCAATCCCCCAACTCCAAGGAATTCGGCAGCTTTTTCAGTTTTTCTTGTTGCCCTGTTGTGGCTGGCTGGCTGTCAGGGGGGAAGAAAGCTCACCTGGCCGATTTTAAATGGCTTTGAGAGATGTCGGACTTGAGATCTTCCCCTGTCTTCCGTGTACACGGGTGTGATGTGCCTCTATGTGTAAATCCTCTGGGAGAGAAAGCTCTCAAATTGAACTGAGAGCACTGAGGGCAAAATCCACATGGCTATCATAGAGAGACTTAAGCAAGCACACTGTGGAAAGTCAGCCACTCCTCTTTCTCCCTGAATCCTGAGGACCCATTCAGTGAAAGTGAAAAGGGCAGCATGTCAGTGGCTTGAGTATAACAGTTTGCTTCAAGAAGGGGGTGGCGGTGGGCACTCCACAAGGTTTAGAGTACAACTCCCACAATCCTCTACCCTCGACCCACTTTCCCGCCCATTGCTGTGGA